CAACTCAACTCTTTTCTAAAGACCTCTCTCTCTCAGTGCTTCCTTTGATATTCACTGCAGTGCACCTGGGAGAATTTATGTAAACTATAGATGCTTATGCCATCAAGATTTTTGGTGATAATGAAAAATTCCATGCCTTTTAAGTGTTAGAATAGATTTGTTGGCAAAAGCTTATAACTTGAAGTGCAGTGTATTCTTTGATGTTAGAATTGTATGTTTTTATCTCATCCTTAGGGGGGGAAAAAACAGCAAAGGAGTTGAGATTCTTTTCTATTTTTTAAGATTTGTATTCATGCCTTCTTCTTTATTCCTTTTATATTTTCTTTTGTTTTCTTCTTTGTATTGGTAAGTATTTGAAACAACAGTATTACTGGGTACAGAATATAGTCGGAGGCATAGTTGCTCCCGTCCAGGGGTAGATTGATGCTTTTTGCCTAATTTCCTGCTGACTTCCTATAGACCTTGAGATTCATAATCATGAGCATGTCTTCATTACTTATGACGTGAGAGCCACACAATACTCTTCATCAATAGAATCATTAGATGACAAAAACCGCAACTAAAGTTTCCCAGATTCATTCATTCATTCATTCACTCACTCACTATGGTTGGACTAGATGACCTTCCTGTTTCTATCATCTCTAAGAATCTGTGGCAACTTCTGTCACTGGACTTCTTTCTCTTTTCTTAATATGAACTGAAAGACCTAAAAAAATTAGAGGGTTCAAAATAGGTGTAGTTAAGTCAAGGGAGAAGCAATCAGTTCATACCGGGTCTCTTCTGTCATAAATCAATCAGTACCCTTACAATGCAACTTGGTCTTTTTGAGATTTGTTCGTTTCCCAAACTACAAAGGGAGACCCATGCTGTGAAATATCAGGATTAATGGTTTCGTTTCCTTATGCAGGGAGACTTACTTTGATCATATCCTATCCTACCTTTTAGCACAGTGGGAGATTTTTGTTGAGCAGAACTATGAGAATTTGAGAACGTGGGTTTTAATAGCTCCTGGACAAATCTTTAAAAATGTATTATTTATTATTTTAAATATCAATGGTTAGCCTCCAGGTGTTTTTTTAAATCTGATTGTGGACATACAGCTCTCTCTGTGCTGTTAAAAAGCAGGTTATGGGCCTGGCCAGGTCACTCAGTTGGTCAGTGCATTGACCCAGTATGCCATGACTGTGGGTTCAAATCCCAATCAGGGCACATAAAGAAATTACTAATGAATGCATAATTAAGTAGAACAATAAAACAATCTCTCTCTCTCTCTCTCTCTCTCTCTCTCTCTCTCTCTCTCTCCCCCCCCCCCCCCCAATAACATAAAAATTTAAAAAGCAGGCTATGCACGTTGAGAGGAGACTTGCTCATGGCATCTTGTTTCTTAAGGCTTACCACTCTTGTCTTTGAAAGTTGTGTTTTGTGTAAGTAAGCTGCATGGAGCAGGGATCTGAAGGTAAACATCTACGAAGTGCTAAGTCAGTGGTGGTAATCCCACACACCATGATTCATAATGAGCTCCTTTCAGAGAGCACACAGCACTGGCTGGCTTGGCTGGTGGTAGAAAACAGGACTCCAGGGAGGGCTCCCTTGCTATAGCTCAGCGGCCGGATAAGAAGAGAACCCTGTACCTCACCAAGCCTGTGGTTTTCCTGTGATGTTTAGTAGTCCGAGCAGAGCAATGCTTCCTCCCAGTGTTTCCTACTGGAGGCTGTGATTGTGAAGGTGATACTTATGATTTGCCAATAGATATTTATACACATTGACTTATCATCATACTTTCTGGGATTTTCATGTGGAGCTTCTAAGCATAAACACATGAAAACAAAGCAAAACAAAGAATCTTGTTATCCAGGCGAGTTTCCCTCTCTCCCGTTCTTTTAGAAAAATATTTTGTGATAAAAACACAAACACAATATGAATAGTAACTGAAAAGGCATTGCTTCCTTTTAGAAAACCGCTAGGATTTGCATAAACCACTCGACTGTCTGGTGAGTGCTGAGCTGCTCTGTCAGTCCCGGGGGACTTTTCACATTAGGTTTTTTGTATTTTAACAGACAGGGATAGTTCCACATTTGAAGGTGGGTATTTGTTAAATGCTTCCAATAGTAACATTTTGTGAAACTGGATTTTTCCAGAAGTCTTAAAAAAGTCAATGAAAGCATAACCTCTTCTTTACTGTGATCATCATGTGAAGGAAATTAAAGGTTTTGAAGGATTTTGAATTTGTGCCGGGCACAGTTTAGTAAAGCTGACATGTGCTAAGGCTAACTACTCAAACTATTCCAGTTTGAGAATTGGGAAGTTGAAAGGAATTTCTGTCATCAGTCATAAAGGAGACAGCTACAGTCATTTCTAGTACCATTGACTGTTGCTGTGTGGTGTTTGCTTGTTGAAGTAGTTCCCCGAGTTGGTTCAAGCAACATTGATATAATACAGTGTTAGAGTTTTGGGTTTTTTTTTTTGGTTCAATTCTGAAAAAAGTGGATTGACATTGACATGCTTGGAATTAAGTACATGTCCTACTGGTAGTGGCATAATAGCTACGGGGGAATATATCATTTTTTATCTAGCAACTCCAAACGTAATTGATTAAACTTTGGATTGCTGAAGGTTGGCAGTGTTACAAGTAAGTTTTCATAAACTGTAATTGATGCTTTTCCCTGTATCTAATCATACAATAGTTTGAGCTCTAGCCAGTTTGGCTCAGTGGATAGAGCATCGGCTTGCGGTCCCAGGTTCGATTCCAGTCAAAGATCACGTACGTTGGTTGCCGGTTCAATCTCCAGCCTGGTCCTTGTGGGAGGCAAGCAATCAATGTGCCTATCTCACATCAATGTTTCTCTCTCTCTGTCTCTCCCCTCTCCTCCATTCTCTCTAAAAATCAATGGAAAAATATCCTTGGGTGAGGATTAGCAACAACAACAAAAACAGTTTGAAACTGTTTCTTTCATTTTGAGTTGGTACAGAGCTCCACGTTTTATTTTCACCCTGTCTTTTACAGCACCAAGTTTTATCTGGGGTTGTAGTGAGGACTTACCATAATTTATCTGAAGGTAATAGCAGCGCCTTCAAAGATAGTGACAGTCAAAAGAGGTCTTTGTGTGCTAAGACCCATCCATTGTCATTGCTGTGATCATCATGGCTAGGACTTCTTGAGGTGCCCTATCTATTCATTGAATCCTCATTCCCATCCTGGGAGGTACATGTAGCATCACAATTTCTATTTAAAACCTTGGGGTCAGGTGTATTTCAGAATTCAGAATAGTTTGGAGTTTAGAAAGGTAAGCTGGGCAAATGCCACATATTACACAAAATCTCCAGTGGGGTCTGCGGAAGCAAGCCAGATAGTATTTCTCCAGGGAACTATATGAATAGTTACTCTGAGTGAAATAATAATGAAAGCTGTAACTAATCTTAATTCAGATCCTTCCACCAAATGAGGTTATGAAAATATTTTTATTTTTTCCCTGAGCTATCCAAATATGATGAGTAACAGATAACTGATTTTTATTCTTGTTTTAGAAAAATATAAGAATCTTGGTGCTTTCTCTGCTATACAGTAGTGGAGAACCCCTCTCTTTACCATCCCCCCTGAATCATACCAGCTACTTAGGCAGTAATTGCTCCTGTGCTTTTTCTAGATGGTCAATTTTCTCAAAGCTAGGTGAGACTAACATTCCATACAGAATGAATGGAACTTAATAAGGTGAAACCTCCTAAGTAAAGCCAAAGTTCAAACTGTGTGTGGATTGAGGCATTCACTGTGTCTTTGCCAGAAGGCACTTAGTTGTGGTAAGTGAACTGACACTGTGGAGGGGCCACCAGCAATGTGGTCTTCAGCTTTGTAGCAGGAGTGCACTATTTTTTTTTAATAACAACTTAAAAAAATGTTTTATTGATTTTCCACAGAGAGGAAGGGAGAGGGATAGAGAGCTAGAAACGTCGATGAGAGAGAAACATCCACCAGCTGCCTCCTGCACGCCCCCTACCAGGGATGTGCCCATAACCATGGTACATGCCCTTGACCGGAATCGAACCTGGGACCTTTCAGTCCCCACTGAGCCAAACCGGTTTTGGCAGGAGTGCACTATTTAGAGTGTGGGTGTTCGTCCCATCTCAGTGTACCCAGACCATGTCTGGATTTCATTTCTGGATGGCCTGTTTTAAAGGCAAGGGGGCGGTGTGTAACCTTTTCCAAGTAGATTGATCAGGAGGATGAAAGGACTTGAAGCCGTGTCAAGAAAGGCACAGGTGAAGTAATTGGGCATGTTTACACAAGTGTTTTGCCACTTTCTAGCCACATTAGACCAGAGTACCTGCTCAAATGAGAACAGGTTACTCCTTGACTCATGATGGGGTTGCATTGAGATAAATCAGCATAAGTTTTTGAAAATATTTAAGTTGAAAATGCATTTACTACCATACTAGACAGTATCAGTTGTTTATCCTTATGATTGTGTGGCTGACTGGGAGGTGCAGCCTCCTGTGACTGCCTAGCATCGGGAGAGAGTATCGTACTGCATGTCATAAGGCCAGGATAAGACCACAATTCAAATTTGAAGTATGGTGAGAGCTTATTGCTTTCACATCATCGCTAAAATAAAAAATAAAATAAAAAATCCTAAGTTGAACCATCTTAAGTCAGGGACTGTCTATAATTTTAGCCTCATATTGATTGACTGCCAGCTCTATGCCCTTTCCTGAGCTGTTAAACATTTGCGATACAAAGATGAAAAGGCGTGAATTAAGGAGATGGAAATGTGGAAACTGAAGCAAAAATGAAACTGTGGTAGCCCTTCAGATGCCAGGATATGAATGAACTCTGATCTCTTGAACAAGAGCTTATTACTGTAGTAGTAACTATCTTGACCTGTCCCTTTTTGTTCTTGCAATTCTTTCACCTGTCCATTACAGTATTTTCTGAGAGGCTGGTACTGCATGACTGTCCAGCTCACGCTTTTCTTTGTTCCACAGATAAAGTGGTCCTGTGAATAGAAATGCCTGCCCAAATACCAGAACTGGAGACAATGGATGAAGATAAAATGATTAAAGAAGTCTTGGATAAGTTTGTTAATTGCCATGAGCAAACATATGAAGAATTTCTGAGCACCTTTACTTATCTTTCAAAAGGTAAAATGGAAAATAAACTTTCCATTGCAGTAGAGATCACTATTTTAGTATAATTTTATGTCTTCACTTGCCTTTTCCGAAAGACTATTTGATGAGCATTCATTCATTCATTCATTCATTCATTCCATTCCTTTGATCAGACAATTCTTATCAGGGCATTCATGGCTGATTCATATAAATACCAACAGTTTTAATGCATCCAGAAGTTGTATGATGGAGTCAGAACTATTGGATTTGAGAACTAAAAAGGACCTGCGAAATCAATCAGTATAATCTTTTCATTTTATTTAGGAAGAAACCCAAGTGCAAACAGTTTAAGCATATTTAAAACTTTAAAGAAATATAGCACAGTATAGGCTGTGGAGTTTTACTGCACACATTTATATCCTGACATTGTCACTTTCTGGCTATGTGACCTAGGGGAGAGGGTTATTGAGGAAAAGGGGAATAATAATAGACCCCCAAAGGTTGGTGCAGGTGAATCGAGAGAATCTGTGTAAAACTCTTAGCATATTGTCTAACATGTAAGTACTTAATGAAAGCTAGGTATTGTTGTGATGATGATGTTATGATTTTTGTACAACGGAAACAAACTTTTAGACCGGAAGTGGTTAACTGAAGCTGAAAGGCCAAACCTGTGTCCTGTGTGTCATTATGCGTGGTTTTTTTTTTTTTTTTTTTTTTTTTTGTGGGTTTTTTTTTTGTTTTTTTTTTTTTGCCACCTACAGTATTGTTTTTGATTTTTAAATTGAGCCAACATTTAAGAGTTGCGAAATTGTACATAAAAATCTTGATGTATTTTTTTCTGATAAGTGAGAGGATCTGTTACCTGTTATTTCCCTGTTGGCAATATCAGCTGGAGCTCAGGAGCCCTTGCCTGGAGAGCTCCCTAGTTTGTGGCGCGCTCTGGCACTCACACAATCTAAAAATGTGCGTATACATCGCCTGCTTCATTCACTTAAGTGGCTCCTATAGGCATTTGAGTTTGTAATTTATATTGTAAACTAGAGGCCCATTTCGGGAAGAGATTTGTGCAATAGGCCTTCCTTCCCTTGGCTTCCAGCACCGGTTTTCCTGCCTTCACTTTGGCTGGAGTCTGCCGCCTTTGCTGCCGTCTTCGTCTTTGCTGCAGACTCCGGCCAGAGTATGCCATCTTTGCCTTTGTTGCAGGGCAGAGTGCTGCCGCTGTAGATCCCCTCACCTCCTGCCCTCCCTCTCATAGCAGGCGTCCTGCCCCGCCCAGCCATTCCATGCCTGGAGTAGCTGGGCGGCCACCATCTTTCTCCTTCTAATTTGCATATCCCCACCTGACTGGCTGGTGGGTGTAACGGAGTGATGGTTAATTTGCATGTTTCTCTTTTATTAGTGTAGAAGGGTCTGCTTCAGATCCCCCTTGGCTTGATCTCAACCTTGGTCCTTTCTGGGTCATTGATCACACTTGTGAGACTGTTGGTTCTCCACTTAGCTGCACCTTGGACTCACTGGAGGAACTTTTAGAGCATCTTGATACCAGGGCTCACTCTAAATCTTAGCTGGGGTCTAGAAACCAGTAATTTGTAAAAGTTCCTCTGGTGATTCTAACACGTACCTGAGGTTGAGAATAAGGAGTTTCATAATTTTAAAGATCATGATGCTGAAAAAACTTGTCATGCTTTTAAGTCATGATTCATGTGTCCTCGACAAATGTAAAAGTAGGGTCGTTATCAGGAAGCAAAAAAAAGTGATTTTAACTTGATTCTTTCGTTGTGCAAAGTAGTTGGAATATCAGTATCTGTTTTGTTTACCCTTAAAAGTTGTGGACTGTGGTTTTGTTTATACTAAAGGGAAAAGGAGACTTTAGGAAATCTCTAATTACCTTTAGGACTCTGAATGATCTATTTTGACATGATAGGTGGATCAGATTAATCATGATAATGACCAAATCACGTTAACCTATGAATTTGGGTTTAGAAAGATGCTTGCTTTCTTTGAGGTGAATGATTTAGTTCCATATTTACTGCCCAAACATGCTGGTATGCAATGTCTGGTGGTGATGGTGGTGGTGGTGGTGGTGATGTGTGTGTGTAAACAAGGGTAAAAACAGCTGAATTTATGCATTTTGGTATGCCAAAGGCATTTTGATAATTACAATTATTTTGGAAATTATTTGTAAAGGTGACTTTATTTTTGTACTGTGGCAGAGCAAGAACTTGCAAGGACTTGGCTGTTTTAATGAGGTTATAATATTTTTTGGAGGGAGTAAGAGGGGCTGTTCTCTTTTCAGAGTTCTGTATGATCATTGCATGCTGAGACAGAAACTGTTGCATATGTGGCCACTTCATTTTGAGTTTAGTTTGGGCCCCAAATTGAGCTGAAATAAATGATGACACAAATCACATAAACTGCAACTCCAAGCACACTAGGGTTTTTTATTTTTTATTTTTTTTCCTTTCAAAATATCCCTAGGCGCCATTCACATTATAAACTAATGACCTGAAAAAATTCCTCTTAAAGCACAAAGAGTTGTGAGTGCAGAAATGTGTCTTAAATCAGTAAGCATCCCCTTTCCTCTTGAAATATTTAAGTACCTTCTGAAGAACTAAATGGGATTTAGGGGTAGGCCTAAGAGTTGAGTGATAGGAGAACTGATCAAAGTGAATATGTTTTTTTTTTTTTTTTTTTTTTTTTTTTTTTTTTTAATGTTTTCATTGATTTCAGGGAGAGGAAAGAGAGGGAGAGAGAGAGAAACTTCAAAGATGAGAAAAAATCAATTGGTTGCCTCTTGCACTCCCCCTACTGGTGACTGAGCCTGCAACTTGGGCAGGTGTCCTCACGGAATAAAACTTTGGTCTCCTGGTTCATAGGTCAACACTCAACCACTGAGCCATACCAGCCAAGATTTCATTCGGTTTTAAGGAAAATATGAAAGCTGTTTATTCATAGTTTTCCCCTTCTTTTCAGCCCTTCATTTCTCTTTGTCTGTTTGGTCGTTTTGCTGCTCTGTAGTGGACTCTTTTCTCTGTTAAAGAGTATTCGTGGCCGAAACCGGTTTGGCTCAGTGGATAGAGCATCAACCTGCGGACTGAAAGGTCCCAGGTTCGATTCCGGTCAAGGGCATGTACTGTGGTTGTGGGCACATCCCCCGTGGGGGGTGTGCAGGAGGCAGCTGATCGATGTTTCTCTCTCATCGATGTTTCTAACTGTCTATCTGTCTCTCTTCCTCTCTGTAAAAAAAAAAAAAAAAAAAAAAAAAAAAAAAAAAAAAAAAATCAATAAAATATATATTAAAAAAAAAGAGTATTCGTGGTTAAAACCATGCATACTTATATATATTTCTTCAGTTTCTCAGCTCTATTCTCATTTCCACTGATTGACTGTTCTATTTAATTTTATAATAGTTATATGCCAAAGTGCTGATGGGATTCATTTTCATTCTAACAGTGTTAAAAGGGTCAGTAATCCTATTAAAAATATTTCCCTGGAAAAAAATTAAACTATAGCTAGCTTTATTGAAAGATATTCACAATACTCCTCCAGTCTTTTGAAAAACAGTTGGAAACTGTTCATATTATAGCATAATTCTCCCTCCAGTACATTTATGTTGATCATATTTTATAGGTTTTTAATTTTTTTTAGAACAGCTCTGGTATTTAATTTTTTTAAATTTTATTTATTTACTTTAAAAATATTTTTTTTTATTTCAGAGAGGAAGGGACAGGGAGAGAGAGACAGAAACATTAATGATGAGAGAATGATTGATCAGTTGCCTCCTGCACGCCCCCTCCACTGGGGTTCAAGCCTGAAACCCAGGCATGTGCCCAGACTGGAAATTGAACCATGACCTGCTTCATAGGTTGACGCTCAACCACAGAGCCACTTTGGCCTGGCTGCAATGTTTTTTAAAACCGAGGTACATATTTGATAATAAATATAATGTTCTATCAAAGTTTTTAAGGAGATATATATGTATATTATATATATTTATTTATTTTAAAGAGACAGTTATAATTGAATTCTTAATAGTGTCTTCAGTTCAAGAGAGTAAGACCAAGTTTTAAGATTTACATGAGAAAATAAGGATGCAGATTTTTGGCTTTATTCATTATTGGTGCTCTTTAAGAAGAGAGACACCCACCAGGGAAGCGCTCTTACAGAGAAAAGGCTGTGAGGGGCTACAGCAAGAGAGCAGCGAAACAGAGGGCTGGGGGAGGAGGGACTCAGGAGAAACATTTCTGTGTTTAAGCCACCAGCCAGTGGTGTTTTGTGATGGCAGCCCTAACAGACTTGCCCAAGGTTACGTGACTAGTTAGCAATGCCCTTGAATTATGGCCCTAATTGGTGTGGCTGCAAAGCCCATGCCTGACCCATTTCACTTTTCTGCCTTACCTTAAGCCCTGGGTAGTTCTCAGGATCTGGGGGTCTCTGGCATGCAGGTGATTTGAGCCATAGGAATAGATGTACTACCTCAGAACAGGACTCTTCTATCTTTTTCAGAATGTGGGGTTTTTCCTCATTATTCTTCCAGGGCCTGAACCAGCGCATGGTAGACTAAGTAGATGCTTAATAAATATTTGTTGAATAAGTGAAAAGAAAATAGGAGAATTCAGAACGATGAAGAGACGGAGTGAGACAGTCCTCAGACCGAGTCCTAAGGAACATTGCAGAGCCTGCAAAGTGCACTGTTGGGATGTGATGCACTAGCTAACTGGAAGCCATAATAGAGTTTAAACACACACACACACAGACACACACACACACACACACACACACACACACACGGCTGAGAAAGGTAGAGGCAAGAAGAGAAGAGACAGCTGGAATGGGGTGATAAGCTAGGAGGTTGAACAGAAATTTCTCTGTGGAGACATGGACTAGGGTAGTGGAGGAGGAAACAGGGAGCAAAAAGGGCCATTGAGATGCTGTACTTGACAACAGGTGACTGACAGAGGATTAGGGAGAAGGAAGGTCCGAGGCCAGTCACCAGCATCTTGCTGGGGGAGACACTGAGCCCACGGAGGCCA